TGTTTTATTCATAATAAAATTCAAAATATGTAACCTTAATTAATTCCTACTAGTAATGGATCTTTTGAAACTTAAATGTACATGTATGTAATCTAATATACGTTCTTTTGTCGACGCCCTTAAAATGTACAACTGTATATATACAAAGCGCCCCAAATATATGCATATCGAGCGTATGGAAATACAAAATCCCACATTCACACGCGCCTCCAAAATATGTAGAATGAGACATACATGCGTAACTGTATTTGAATATTACAAATTTATTAGACACCTAACCTTGAACAAATTATTTTTTTCTACTAAACTTATTATTGTATGCGAACAAAATGATAAACATGTAATTATTTATAGGTTCCCATTATTTTTTTTTGAAAATCAGAACACATTTATCAGCTCTCTTAAGGTTTTACAGATACATACAATGTACACGCATGCAAGTACAGAACATGCACGTTTTATAAGTGCATATGCAAGAGCACCCCAAATATAAGCATATCAAGCGTTTGAAATTCAGAAAAATTCTAAATCCCAAGTCTTTTTTTCCCATTATCTTTGCAATAAAATATCGGTTAAACTGAAATGATTTTATTGATTTACAGCATATATTAAAGTCAATTATAGGTCCGCTGAGTTGATCATGAGTTGTTTTCATAACGGGTAGTCCTCCTGGCCAGTCATCGTCACGGTTTGTAACATCGTAATTACACAGGTAAATACTAAGATGTCAATCCATATATCTTCCATAAGAAATGAATTACCGGGAGATGTCTCGTTTTCTCTGATCATATATTAATTGACAGCGTTTATGAACAGCTGTTAAAACACAGGCCTTTGTAAACCGGTAAATCACAAAAAAGAAAAATCCGAGACAAAAAACAGAAAATATAAATGTCTCTGGAAATAACATTGCTTTTAGAAAACTAAATTAAATTAATGTCCGCCGATTTTTGAATTAATCTGAACATTCATTGATGTGTACCTGTACAAGCAGTGTGTATATTTTTATGAAGCCTTCGTCCAAATGAACAATATAATAATCTTGAATGAATTAACTAACCCATCAGTACACACACATTCGCCTACACCTGAAATCTAATCAAAATCAGATCTTTTTTACGGCCCGAAATTCTGATAGTCGCTGTATTTCTAATCTGATTGACTATACATGTACAGTACAGGCAACGCGGATCCCGTATTTCCCGCGCCCCGTCGCGGTATAAACACAACGCGGGATTTGGCCAGGTGAGACAAGTAAACCGCGTTCCCTCCGCGGGAAATTCATCACCTACCTGTCCCCGCCGCGGTTAAATCATCGATCACCTAGTATCGTAAACAAACGGGAGTTATCTCCCCGAACAGGAATTTTGCGAAATTCCCTCTTTAAAAAAAAACAAATTAAAATCCCGCAGTGTATGTATATTTATGAAAGTATTTTCTTTTATTTCGCAAAAGGTGAAAATAATGAATGAACACAAAAAAAAATTGTAAAGCAGAATATATTTAATCGTTTTTTTTTTTTATTTTATTTATTATTATTATTTTTGTTAAGTTATATATCAATACTAAAGCGACATCTTTTTTTAAATAGTATCAAGAAAACTATTTATAAGCTGAGTCATTTGAGAGTTTAACGTGACAAATTTTAATGTCGGAAATATAAGTTCTAATAACTTCTCTTTTCAAATTATATGCGAACTGCAATGTTACATACACGTGCTAAACAATAGTCAATGCGAGTTCCGATTAACAGTTTTCAGCATTCCTATGAGGAAAAAAATATATCTATATACTGTTTTTTTTTTGTTTTTTTTTTTTTTACCAAATTTAAAACAATATAATTCATTTGAATAATTTCACTTTACTGTATTAATGTGCAAGCATTTCCCTGAAATTGTCGAATGACCGGAAAGCTGTAATATTCGATGGTGAACGTTATAAAAGATATCAATAAAATATAACAATTTTTTCCCCTCGATATTTACTTCTTTTGTAAACAGTGGTTTGTTTTTAATTTAAACATTTCTCCAATTACAGAAGATGGAATGTGCATGGTGATGAACTTCACAAAACAATTAAAACGGGGGGGGGGGGGGGTATATCACCAAAACTTATTATTCTCAATAATACTCAAGAAAAAAATCAATGCCAAGTTTACTTGAATATATTCTGTTTCTTTGTGCATTAAGTATTAGTCGCGATCATTTCCTGTGTATAGGGATTAGCAGAGCAAGAGCAGGAAACGGCATGCCCTAGGGGTTTCACACCTGTCCTAGAGTACCTGTGGTAAATTTCTCTGCATGTGCAAGGCATTGTCTAGCCATACAACACACCTGTCCCTTCAACGTTTCATTATTTCTTCATTTTCAAATGTAACTACAACCATGAAAGTTACGCGAGTCAATATATACTTTTTTATCACCAAAACTTATTATTCTCAATAATACTCAAGAAAAAAATCAATGCCAAGTTTACTTGAATATATTCTGTTTCTTTGTGCATTAAGTATTAGTCGCGATCATTTCCTGTGTATAGGGATTAGCAGAGCAAGAGCAGGAAACGGCATGCCCTAGGGGTTTCACACCTGTCCTAGAGTACCTGTGGTAAATTTCTCTGCATGTGCAAGGCATTGTCTAGCCATACAACACACCTGTCCCTTCAACGTTTCATTATTTCTTCATTTTCAAATGTAACTACAACCATGAAAGTTACGCGAGTCAATATATACTTTTTTTTTACCCTGAGTGTATATTAAAAGGAAAAAGATCAATCATACTTTTAAAATAAATTAATAGAGTTTAAATGAAATAAAATAGATCAAATCAAATTATGTTTTATTACTTTTTTTTAAATGCCGACGGGCTTGGTATTTATGTTTCTGTTTAATATATGTGCATGTATTATGCAAGTAGAATGTAAAATTTAAAAAAAACGTACAGAATGTTACGGCACGTGCAACGTTTTTCCTTCGGTCAGTTTATTGATTTATCGAGTCCATCGATTAAAACAAAATATTCATGATAGAATTTCAATGAAATGAATTGCTTCTGGATTATTTTTTTTCCAGTTTCAATATGTCGTTTCTGTGAACAGATAATATACCGTAGCCGATTTATCAGTTTATTATCCAGTTGTGGACTTTGACTAATTCTACGATCAAGTTTCTGAAAAACACCGAAATAGTGACAGCCACAGACACTATTTAAGGTCTTCCGTTTAAATAGTACATGTACGATTAAAGACAAAAATATCTACCGAAACAAGATCATCGTCGCAAGCCACGGTTTTTGTGTCCATTCTATTTCCACAAACCCGTGGCTGCCTCCTACCAAATTCTCTCGTTCTCGCGACTGAATCATTGAAGATTTACCCTGACCAATGAAATCACTCTGTAGCAATTTTTGGTACGCTTAAATGGCGGCGCCCATAATGAAATCATGTTTGCTATGCGTGGCAGATTTATTGAAAAAAATACGATAGATCCTGAAGAACAGATGTGAGTAACGTATATTCTAAAATACTTACAAGGTTTTACATTAAAATACAGGGTTTCAAATGTAGAGGTTGTGTGAGAACGCTGAATAGCGTTACTCGTTAAGAAAGGAAATTCGAACCGAAGTTGATGTACAGCTCGTGGTTATGGTTACATCCAAATACAAGATAGACATCATTTTCATTGGTTCTGACTTGAAGCGTCAAATGTTATTCAATTGGTTGAATTATGTTATTAATATTCATGAGAACGAGAGAAATTTGAAGGAGGCAGCCACGGGTTTGTGGAAATAGAATGGACACAAAACCCGTGGCTTGCGACGATGAAACAAGATATAATAACATATTTTGGTGACATGTGGTAGGTACATGTATATGATATTTTAGGCCCGATATCCAAGAGGGGTCCAGTGTTAACAAATGGAAGTGACTTACCTTCTCTATTTCATAATACCGCGGGTATGATTTTTTAATAAAACGTTAATTCTATGTTATTTTTATGGATTTTTCATATGGAATACATTGTAAATGTGTATTAGAAGATTAATTTATGGAAAAAGACGAATAAAAATATTCTTGGACCCCGGGGTGTATATTGGGGGGGGGGGGGGGGGGGTCCTGTCCACAAGCACCGGTCTCTTCCAAAGGATCGATCTCCACGTTTTACTACTTATCCAAACTGGGCATAAAACATTCTCAATGAATTTTTTAATCATTATGCTGAACCTAACAAATTATTCCGACTCGCTGTATGATCTGAAAAAAACATGGCTGAACTTATCCGTTCAGAAACTCACAGACTGGTATTGCTTTTAACCAGTGTGTGTTATGGCCTTGATGCAAGGTCATTTGGTCGAGTCTAGGTCACTGACAGAGAAACTGTAATTTCGCTACCGTATTTGTACTAGTGAAACATTGCTGGTATCATGCAGAGTGTGACATGGCCTTGACTCAAGTTCAAGGTCACTAAGGATAAGATGTTTTGACTGTATGTATGGACTAAAAGAACATGACGTGTCACTGTGAACTTTTCAAGTCGGTAACATACAGATTGGGTTTTATGACGAGAGTGTGTCATGGTTTGATGCAAGGCATTTGGAATGTTCAAGGTCACGTACATTCCTTTACAGTTTTTCCTAGCGAAATATTGTAAGTTGCTTCCCCTTACAAGATTGCTTACATGTATAACTTTAGAATGTGGCATGACCTTGACTCAAGGTCACTTCTTCCTTCCGCAGCTCCAATGGAAGACCTATTCGTTGCTTTGCAACGAGCTCGCTCTAGTTTTCAATTAATTTTTTAGATAATTAATTGTCTCATACTAAATTTAATCCTTTGAGAATTACTTCCAATTATTATAGTTTGCCAATTATGAAATTTGAAGTGGCCAATTCTGATTATTGAAATGGTGATAAATCATCTCCTGCTGCCTATTATTGAAAATCTCTGTACTGGTATGAGAATCATTTATGAATTGATTTTTTTTAAAATCTTCTTTTTTTTGACAGATATTTGCCAACCTTACAGACTTTGAGTTCCTTTATATAGATTTGTTCCTGCTTACCTCACTCAGTGTTACCTGTAAGTCGTTTATACAGAAGTAATACTAACATTAAAAATCCAGTCAATTTTGATATTCAATTGACAGCTTATTTTCTTCTGTATGTTAAGTTCATCAGAATTAAATTTCAGAATGTAATAAATGTAATTCAAAAATGCCCAGTTAAGGGAAATACAATTTTGCTAGAAATTAACTCACTTTTTCCTGGATTAATTTGTAGGTAAACCTGTTTTTTTTATTATTAAGCCATAAAACCCTTGTAACATGATACTACATTGTAATTACAGTTGGATATACTAATGCCTATGACAAGCTGTCTAAGGACCCACCCCTGGTCAGCCTTTTTAGTGTCTCCCCTGTTTTGTCCATTATTCTACATATGGTGGTCCAAACTGCTGCTCAAGTTTTCTGCTATTTTCATGTAATGGAACAGCCATGGTATGTTCAAATATGTAACTGCAGCTCTTGAAAAATTGATACATCAAATATTTAAAAATTACATCTTTCTTTATGCATGTATTACTGTTTTCATATTAATAAAACTTTGAGTAAAAGTAAAGGAAAGAATTCTTTCCATCACAGCTTCCAACACAATAATTGTTGTCCAACAAACATTTGTAAATTTTGGTATACTCTGTCCACAAGTTGGGCAAAACTAGTGTTCTGGAGTCTAACTGCAGTGATAATTATGTAGTCTGTTTTGGACTTGTTGATCCCCCCTTTTTGTACATGATGTATTTATCTTTTCCAATGTGTTTGTTACATTTGATGACAGGTTTGTCAAATACCATCAAAATGAGGATGATGATTACACAAGCTATGAGAACATGGCTGTTTTTGTCGTGTCCATGTATCAGTACATCACGCTGGCAGTTGTGTTCTCTAAGGGAAAACCTTATCGAAAAACCGTATTCTCAAACTGTAAGTCTGAAAAATATATGATTTGTAAAACAATATTAATGATTCAAAACCATCAAGAATATACTAGTTGTAAAGATGACAAATGACTGAATTATTTTTTCAGATTTTTTTTTGGCCAATCTGGCCATATGCATCGGTATGTCTTTGTGGCTGACTATCTATCCGACTGATGATGTAGCTGAATTCTTTGAACTGAAGCCAGCTCCTTCAATTCCATACAGATGTATCTACCTAGGAATTGCAGCCATCAACTTTTTCTTGGATTATCTTGTAGAGGTAATTGTATTTCTACAAGTAGGATCAATTTGTCCAAGTAGACCCAGGTTTATTTAATAGCCTTATGTATGTAGTAAAATGCATTTTTTCCTGTAAATTGGAACAAATAATCATGTCCAAGTGCATGATGTAAATTACTTATTTTGAATCCGCATAAATCATTTTCTTTTCATTTGTGTTAAAAAATATTATTTAAATTTTCATTTCATTTATTGTTGCAGACATTCATCATTGAAAGCTATTTTGTGCAAGAGCGTTTGCAGTGCTGGATCGAGGACATTTTCTCCACCTCCAAGTATCAGTACGAAATTTTGGAGGAGGAAATCACCAGAGACAAGTCCTGGCCCAACATATCCTCAGCAGAATCACTGGCCCAGGCCTTCGAGCGACTAGACAGTCAGCAAGCTCGTGACTTTGATCAGAGCAGTCTCCTTAGTAGCTTACTGGACTCAGCTAGCGAGACTCAGAGTATCCGATCACTACGATCATTGGAGGTAGACACTTCTCATAACGATCCTGTGTTTCAGCGAGAGACCTCCAATGTCAGTGATGGTTTCTATATGGACATTGATGATGAATCACAGTTAATTAAGCAAGACCCTTCTCAAGGGGTGGATAATCCTGCACTAGATATCGAAGGTGAAGTGTCCAATACAGGTGGATTATAACCATAACCACCCATCACACACACAAAACTAGTGCAATGTGATGCAATTACAACATAATTAGTGACCATTCATTAGTACACCGATAATAAAGTTCAGCATGATGCTCAGTTTATGACCATCCATCAAATACAAATAAAAGTGCAGCATATCAGTGATCACACAGTCATACTTATTTTTGTATTTTTAATAATTCAGTACTTTTGTATTATCTCTCTCTTTTTTGGCATGTTTTTGCTATAAACAGGAAAGTTGAATATTATGAATTTGGTACAAATTATAACATATCCCATGACTGTATCAAGCATTCTCGTACCTACATGTAATTTGGGTCATCTGTTCTCCATTATGGTTCTCCATTCATTTTCAGTTATTTTTTTCAAAACTGGATAATCCAATTTTATCTATTTTCAAAATACTCATCTTCCGAAGGGCGGTATGGAATTTCCAATCCCTCTGTTTGCTTTTCCTTGTCCTGAGGTCATATCTTTGACATTATGAAGTGTAAAGAACCATTAAACATTGTCAGTTGAACATTGCATCTTGGGGAGAAGTCGTGTGTCTCAATTAACTATAACATTGGTCATGAAGGCTTCATTTGGAATTTTATGGCTATAAATAGTCAAATCTTAGTATGACTTGGATCATATCTTTCACAATGTGAAGCCTAGGACCATCAAACTTCTTCAGTTTCTGCATCATGGGGGAAGGTTTGTGGCAACTGAAAAGTAGATCAGAGTTCCCTCATTTTAGAATCTTATGGCTCTGCATATTCAAATAGTGCCTTGCACATTTCTTGCATACTGCATGGCCCAGGACTATCAAGGGAAGTTGTGTTGTAACCCACAAGTATGGCATTTTGTCTGGCATAGGACAATCAAATTTGGTCAGTTATGCATGGGGGAGGGGGAGATGTTCTATTGCAACACAAAAAGTAGAGATGAGCAGTTAGTCTTCTTCAAAAATTGTGAAATTCGGGTCCCATGGGTTGAGGATTCAGTTCTCAGGGTGAGGCTAAGTTTGTTTTTTAGCTCTACTGGTCAGAGACCAGAAGAGCTTATGCGATAGTAAGGTGTCCGTCGTCCGTCCGTCTGTCTGTCTGTCTGTCTGTAAACAATTATTCAAAACGCTACTCCTCCTACAGTTTTGGTCCGATTTCAATATAACTTGGCACACAAGTAGACTACACTAAGATACATAATTTAGTGCATCGGTTTTTGATTTCGATGGACGGTGTTGCCATGGTTACTAAAAATAGAAATTTCTGTGAAATTCATTTAAAACGCTACTCCTCCTACAGTTTTGGTCTGATTTCAATATAACTTGGCACACAAGTAGACTACACTAAGATACATAATTTAGTTCATCGGTTTTTGATTTCGATGGACGGTGTTGCCATGGTTACTAAAAATAGAAATTTCTGTGAAATTCCTTTAAAACGCTACTCCTCCTACAGTTTTGGTCCGATTTCAATATAACTTGGCACACAAGTAGACTACACTAAGATACATAATGTAGTTCATCGGTTTTTGATTTTGATGGACGGTGTTGCCATGGTTACTAAAAATAGAAATTTCTGTGAAATTCCTTTAAAACGCTACTCCTCCTACAGTTTTGGTCCAATTTCAATATAACTTGGCACACAAGTAGACTACACTAAGATACATAATTTAGTGCATCGGTTTTTTGATTTCAATGGACGGTGTTGCCATGGTTACTAAAAATAGAAATTTCTGTGAAATTCCTTTAAAACGCTACTTCTCCTACAGTTTTGGTCCGATTTTAATATAACTTGGCTTACAAGTAGATTACACTAAGATACATAATTTATTGCATCGGTTTTTGAATTCAATGGACGGTGTTGCCATAGTTACTAAAAATAGAAATTTCTGTGAAATTCCTTTAAAACACTACTCCTGCTACAGTTTTAGTCTGCTTTTAATATAATTAGGCATACAAGAAGACTATACTAAGATACATAATTTATTGCATTGGTTTTTGAATTCGATGAACAGTGTTTCCATGGTTACTTAAAATAGAAATTTTTGTGAAATTCCCATTAAACGTTACTCCTCCTACAATTTTGGTCTGATTTCAATCTAATTTGGCACACAGTTAGAATACACTACGATACATAATATGTATTTCTGTTTTTTTTATTTGGGTGAATGGTGTTGTCATGGTTACTAAAAATAGAAATTTCCCTGAAATACTTTCAAAACGCTACTCCTCCTACAGTTTTCATTTGATTTCAGTATAACTTGGCACAGAAGTAGACTACATTAAGATACATAATTCTATTTATTGTTGCCTGTTGCAATGTTTCAAATCCAAGTGCTACTTTTCTTTTGTTATACAAACAGACCAGTAGAGCTACAGTCTCATCAGAGACTTCTGGTTTGCATATACAGTTGAACTTCGGTATCTCGAACACAGATATCTCGAATACCATGGATATGTTGAAGTTATTAAGAAGTCCTAACCACGTATTTCTTAAGGATTTTACCCTCGATATCTCGAACCCTCAGATATCTCAAAGTTTTATCTCGGTCCCATCGAGTTCGAGATAACGAGGTTTGACTGTATTCATTTTAACTTTAAAAACCTTCATCTAGCAGACATTTTTAAGGCATTTCAATACATGTACATCTATAATGGATGGTTTCTAGACTCCTTATTTTAAAAATCAATTACTCCTGAAAAAAATCTTTTTTCATTATACTTCTGAAAATGTAGAATGTGAACTGTTTAAACTGTCATGTCAAATAGAGGCCACTGATGAAGTGGAGTTTGTTTTAAGCTTGTGAAACTTAAGTATGTGATACTCAGGTGACCTAATGGGTGTCTTGTTAATTATTTATTCCTTAAACTCTTATTTTAACCAAACCAAAAATATGATAACTAGTGGTATATATCTAACTTAATGAAATATTCACTATTGTATTGACAATAAATTCTTTGTTTTACATGACTTTGCAGTCCTTGTTTTTAAGAACAATAGGTTTTCAACTATCTGACAGGTAGATATAAGAAATAAATATTTTATTTGTTCAACTAGATGTGTGATACATATGCATCCACCTACATTCATTTTTAATTATTGAAAGTCCAAGTAAGTGACAATAACTATTATGTGTGTGTGGAACAAAAATAAAATATTGCTGCTTTTGTTTTTGTTCTACAACCACTTTAAAAATAAAAGTCTGGAAAAACAGTTAATTAGATAAAAAAAAAAATCAAAGTCCTTGTGCAAGCCCTATTTTTTCTCCTCCAAAAATTATTACCATTGTTAACATTTTTGAAACAAGATGTGTTTGTGAAATACTGATGCCCCCTATGGCAACTTATAGCAAAGGTTAAACTTTCTCAAATGCAAATCAAATATGCTGGTACCCAAAGTAAGGACTTGTCTCAAGGAATATACCTGTGAAATATGAAAGCCCTAGCAGCAACCATTGAATAGATATGTAGAAGGTTAAAGTTTTTCAAAAGTAAGTCAAACATTAAGGTCAAGGTCAAATGGTCAAAATTAATGGTGCCCAAGGAAAGGCAGTTGTCTCTGCATTTTTGCAAAAGTGATGGACAACAATTGTAGCCTTGTTGTTCTTTTTGTCCCCTGCTTTTGCTAAAGTGAGGGGACATTGAATCTCACTTGTCAGTCTGTTTGTCACAAAAACTTTAACCTTGGTCATAACTTTTGAATGAGAAGAGATAGGGCTTTCATATTTCACATGTACTTTACCTGTGACAAGATCTTTCCAAATATACTATGATTTTTAACCCCGTGACCTTGAAGTTTGACCTACTTTTCAAATATTTTGACTTTAAATTGGTCATAACTTTTGAGTGAGAAAAAGATAGGACTTTCATATTGCACATGTATATTACCTCTGACAAGACCTTTCCAAATTGACTATGATTTTTGACCCGTGACTTTGACCTTGAAGTTTTACCTACTTTTCAAAAATTTTATCTTTGTTTATAACTATTGACTGAGAAGAGGTGGGTCTTTCATATTTGACATGTACATTACCTGTGACAAGTCCTTTCCAAATATAATATGATTTTTCACCCCGTGACCTTGAAGTTTGACCTTTTCAAATATTTTGACATTACTTTAAATTGGTCATAAAATTTGAATGAGAAAAGATAGGAATTTCATATTATATATGTATATATAATCATAGGACCATAATCAAATTCGAACTTGACCTGTATTTTCTGGTAAAATACCTGAATATGCAATTTTAATCTTATACTTACATCCGTACAAAAGTTAGAGAGAGGAAACTGAAAATTTCTTATTTTTTTTCTAAGTTCAAGAGGGATAACTCTATCAAAAACCATCGGACCATAATCAAATTCGAACTTGACCTGTATTTTCTGGTAAAATACCTGAATATGCCATTTCAACCTTATACATACATCCCTACAAAAGTTAGAGAGCAGAAACTGAAAATTTATTATTTTTTCCTAAGTGCAAGAGGGATATCTCTGTCAAAAATCATTGGACCATGACCAAATTCGAACTTGACCTGCATATTTCTAAGACGTATCCATATGTCAAATTTGAGTTGAATGTGTGCAACTGTTGCAAAGATAATGAACGAAAGGTGAATGATGATGGAACAAGGTAACACTATATGCCCCGGCCATTTCATGGCGGGGGCATAAAAAATAACTTTGGTGATTACTTTTGAATGACATACGATAGGGAGTTCATATTTGACAAGTGCATTACATGTGTCAAAATGTTTCTGAATGTGCTATGATATTTGACCCAGTGACCTTGACCTTCAGGATTGACCTAATTTTCAAACATTTTATCAGTGTTGCTAACTTTTGAAGGAGCGAATATAGGGCATTCATATTTGACACGTGCACTACCTGTGACAACCATTTTAAATGCACTATGATTTTTTTACCCCATGACTTTAAACTTCAAGTTTCACCTAATTTTCATAAATTAGCTCATGAAATATGATGGCGTAAAGCATCGTAGTTCATGTCCTTATGAATTCTCAAAAATTAAATTCATCTCTAAAAGTTTTGCACATCATCAAAACCTGATCACAGAATGAACTATTGCATGGCTGAACTGATCCATTATGACGTCATAACTAATTTCCCATACTTTACAGCTATAATATTGAATTACGTATAAATAGAAGCATTTTTATGGCATTCAATTTGAAATTATCATTTGAAGAGTAATCCCGATACCCGTATTAAATATATATTCAACTTAATATCGCTTCAAAGAAGATGCCAAGAACACTTTTTCTGAGGGTAATTTGGGAAAATTGTAGGCCCCTTTCACTCACTGTAGAGTTTTGCCTTAAATGTCTGACTCAGCATGCTATATTCAAACCTTCAAGTCATCATTATGTTGTTTACTAAACAATATATGTATACATAAATTTATTAGTGCATGATAATACCATCCCCATTTATTTTTCTGATTTTACACCAATCGGTGCAAGAATTTGGTTTGTATTCATCTTGTTTAGTTTGGTTTCAAGAAATAATACAAACTTTTGTCAATGTATTTTAAAATCCATTGAATAGATTATTATGTCCATATCATTACTTTAAGAAATTATATAGTAGATTAGGTAATAAAACACTTATTTCATGACAACTCTGGAAACTGTCAAACTGTTGTCCCTCGATAATGGGGAAGACCTGGGAGACTGTTGCCCTCAGCCTTCAACAACAGTTTCCCAGGTCTTCCCCATTACCTCGGAACAGTTTGACTGTTCCCCTTGTAGTCATGAAACAAGTGTTTACTACATGTATCATACATTTCATGGTTGATGATGGGTAACATACATTGTGCAGCTATTGTATGCTACATTGCTTATGACCTTAAATGCTTGCCTTTTTAACCAAAATATTATCGTCAGTTCAAATTGCTTGTGGTACACTGTAAACAACTGAATATGTTCTAGTCAGACCTATGTATGAAAATCCAAGACAGCATTTCTTGAATCCTCGTGTTTGATTTACATACTGATATCTTGTTAAAAGGCATTCTGAACTTATGCAGATAATGTATCCATATAATGCTTCTACAAGATTTCAAATAGGAACAATATTCTCACATCCATAGTGGGTTTTTTCATTTTAATGTTTCTTTTTCAATCTCCTACAAGACATTTTTTCCATATCATATAGTCAAGCATGGGAACTGTCTTTTTGTACATCAATTGTAAATTATCAAGGAAAATGATTAATACAAGTTTCACACTTGTTTCCAAATCCCAGCTTTTTGTATATTATTTTTTACTATATTTAGACGCTTTTGTTCTAATAAAACATGATTTCCATGGCAAGTTTTCTTACAAAATATTTAGTATTGATTTCTCAACCAAGAATTGTGAATTGTTAACTACCCAGTAAGTGACCTATAATATGAGGGGAAAAAAACATTTTCATTGTTAGAAATTTATTACAATGAACAGTTCTTTAAATTTCAGATAGAGGTAAAAGTTTTAACATAATACATTTCTCTCAGTTTTCATTCAAATAGAATCCTACAGATCTGATGGTAGTTCATACAGAAACTAATTCTGATAGGTAACAGATTTTAAATTGTATACATAACAATGAAGTTTTCTATATAAATTTTCATAAAATGTCTTGTAGTGGACATTCATGGCATATAAAGGAAAAATAAAGAATAACAAAAACAAAGAGCACTTTTATGTATTGATGGCTAGATACTCACACACATGTTCACAAAAAGAAAAAGTAGTTTATGAACACTTTGAAAATACTTGGTCAATTCTGTCTGGATGCAACTTTTTATTTCCCATTTTGATGTGTTGAATAAACTTGTATAATTTCAATTTTTTCACATGATTTTCTTCTTTCTTGAAATACTCATTAGAGTAGCCTTTAATTGATCATACAGCATCCTCACTGATCATCTCACTCGAAGAAAAAAAAATGCCAAAGAAGCAAAAAAAAGCATGTCTTAGTGCATGGTCGTAAGTCAATGCTGTTCCATGGAGGTTTAAAAAGAGAACGCACAACCCATATATGTGAATCACCCCCAACATCCATATTTCATTCCTCCGACCTCCGTGAAGATGGGTACCTAGCCACTGTGTCAAAGTTAAATACCGGTAAATGTCTGTTGTTTAATATTTCTAGTCTCTGTTATTTCTTCATATTAGGAACCTGAAATTTGAGAAGTTGTGTTTATATAAAAGATTTATATTGAAAGATTAATAATAAATGACTTTCTTCAAATTATGTGTTTCTATTTTGCTTTCTCCATTTCTACATAATTTAAGCAAGGAAACAATCAAAACTAGTGTCCAACTGACATGAACTTTTGATGCTTTTAAGTTTTCCAGCCACTCGTTGAAACACTAATTACAAATTGCATTGATGTTTTCTTTTGCAATGATTACAAAATCCATTGAAACCTTATATGTGCATGTGGTGCAGGGCTGGGGTCAATTACTTTGAAATGTAATTAAATACTTTCAAATACATTTTTGTCAATTATCTGCAATTACAATTACATTGATTTTAAAAAATGTAATTAATTACTCTCAATTACTCTGAAGAATGTAATTAAATACCTATCAATTACTATAGTTTTATTTCCAAAAATTTTGAAGAAAAATACATGAATAAATACCTATCAATTACTATAGTTTTATTTCCAAAAAATGTTGAAGTACAAATACATGAATATTTTTTTAATATGTAACTTGAAAAATAAAGTATTTGAATGTAATTGAAATGTAATTGAAAAATACATGACATTTTTTTAATGTATTTAAATACATTCAATTACTTGTAATTGAAAGCAAGCTCAATTACAAATACTTTCAATTACTTTGGAAAAATGTATTTAAATACAGTAAATTATAATTACTCAATTCAATTACCCCATCCCTGATGTGGCGCCTATGTATGTCCCAATTACAGTGTCAAATGAAAAAGTGCATTTGTATATCTCATTACATTTATATTTTTACAAAAATAGTGCAGTAACGCATACTCTTAGCTACTGCCAAAAAATCTTCAATGCATTCATGATTTGGAAATGTACCACTGCAACTACACACCTATTTAGTATCCACCTTTATTCCAGTAATGTGTTCTTCACCCATAGCAGATGTCACTGTCAGCTAGGTAAACAAAAAATAAAATGAGCATCTTAACTTAAAATCAAAATGACTGGATGTGTTTGGTTGTCATACAGAATGTAAATCACAGCAAGGATGAATTCAATGGAAACCTTGTCTTGAGATTCATAGAAAAAGAATTTAACATATTTGTAGATCTTTATTTGTTACATATACATCCCCTTTTGCAATAATGAAGTAATTGACTGGAAGTGATGATGTATGTTATATATACTTACAAGAAGGGATTCTTGGTTCTCCCAGCGTTTTTTAATTTCGTCACCTAATTCATCTTTTGGTAGATTCATATCGTCTTTTAAGGAGCCATTTTCCTCCATAAGGGATGGGGTACCATCATCACCAATGTCTATAAGCTTAAAATAAACAACAACAAACAAACCTTAAGTATTACATTCCCTAATGATAAAACATCAAGGTTTAACTTGAAGAGTCTGGTGCCCTGTTCACATGGAGAGTTTAATTCGAATAAAACGCAAGTTACTGCGAATTAAATTTGATCCGCGTTCACACGGAGAATTTAATGCGAATTAGTTTAATTCGAATTAGTTTACTGCGCATTAAATTACTTCGCATTAGCTCCGTGTGAATGCTAAGCGAAGCTAATTCGAATTAAATTCTGACGCATGTGTAAGGGCAGAATTAAGTCACATGCCACATGTCGCTGGTCAAATATAGGTATTTGTGCTATTTTTGAGTGGAAAACAAAGGAAAACTATGTTAATCACTTAAAACTGTACAGACACTATGAAATATTATGTCAAATGTATATCTGCTCTGCAAAGTGTGTCGTGATTTGCAAATGACGTCATAATAGCCCTACTGAATAGCCTTATAGTAGAAATAAAATTTTAATTCGCATTAGTTTACTTCGCATTAGCTGTCGTGTGAACGCAATTTAATTCGCATAATTTTACTTCGCATTAATTTACTGCGAATTAAACTCTCCGTGTGAACAGGGCATGGGTTGTTACATTACTCCAAAACTTGAATATGTAAAATAAATAGATATTTAATGTTCCGTGTGGGGCAGGATTTTTTATTTAATATTTTCACGAGTGTGAAGCACAAGTGAAAATATTTTTTAAAAATCCTGTCTCAAAAGTGAAATAAATTCCAAATCCAACTAAAAAATATTGAATTTTCTGTTTATTTTATTTTAGTTTTATAGTCTGTCAAGTCATAGTTGAGCGGTTGAGATGTCACGGCTTAACAGTTGTGAGATTAAAAACATTGTAACATGGATTTCAGCAAAATATTTGGGAAGAAATTGGCAGTTTTTGTATCTATCAAAACAGTTTAGTTACTATCTTATGACATGACAGAAATTATTTTTACTTACTTTGATATCCTTTTACAGTATGAGAGAATATCACTTTGGTATCCTTTCACACTGTGAGAGATTATCACTTTTATTCAATAAATTAATCACAGTATTTCACTGTTGAAAATGTAATGATAGCTTTTATTTACCTGGTAGTCTTGGCGTTTAACAAGAGGGACATTCATGTTGTGAGTAGAAGGGCATATGTCTTCATATTTCTTCTGAGTGAAAATGTCAATTCCCACCAAGTGAACCTGTATAATAAATTGTTACTCTATAACATCTTAAGCTCATGCTGAAAACCTTATTTGTGAAGTTAACCGATTAGATTATAAAAAGTAACAAACAATAGAGCTAACAACAATAACGTAACAAAATAGTTGATATAGAGGGATACAGATACATATCATCAATTTGCCGATTTTGCTTTACAACCTAGCTGCTTAATGCCTTGGTTCAACTTCACATACATGAAAAGCAAGATAGATTGTTCCATCCTTAAAATGAAATTGTCCTATGGATCCTGTTTAACAATAGTTCTGCGTGTTTTCAATATAGAAAAATAAACAGATAACTCTTCTCTACATATTTACTACAAATATGCAGAGAGTTCCCAATGTCAACTCGGCGTGTAAATTCAAAGTGAAAAAAAAATTCGAGAAAATGAGTTGAATTTTTGTCTTTATAATAATGTATTTTTTTAGGGTAGAAGACATAAATAAACTCAGAAAGGTTTTTTCAAGATTAATGAGGGAGTTTTTTGGTACACACAGGGGTTGAAATATACAGTAGCCCGAGGTCTGGGGCTAATCATTTACCAGAAAAAAAATTCTCGTTAGTTTATTTTTGTTTTCTATGTAATCTGGTTTCTTTCGACTGAGAACTAGTTTAATTTGTTTTTGTCACCAAAAGCATTTGAAACTTTAATTTGTTATGTTTCATTTTGCATAAAAATTGTTGGGCTAGTTAGTTTGAGGTTTGGGCTGGTAATTTTTTACTGATCAGTAGTCCCTGGACTAGTGAGATTTACACGAAAATTTCACCCTCTGTGCACTTTTGTATTCAGAGCAGATTCGTTCTGATTTGCTACTACATGAGACGTATTCAGACGGTATTCTAACTGTGGTGAGGGCTTGTCCAGAGACACAGTTAGATTATTCTAACTAATGATTTATCAGCCAAAAACTGGATGCAGAATTGCTTCTTGTACCTTGGCATGGCCGTGCTTTCCAGTCTTAGATGTGGACATTTCTACGATTTTGCATGGTCGATCCTTAATGACAACATGTCCATTTTTGCGAAGAGAAGAACACTGAGCGGGATAAGTCTTGGATGCTCCAGAATCTGCTCCACCAAAATCATCATCTGCGTGATCTCCCATCTTGATTTTTCTGCAAATATTAATGTATACGAGTATATTTCTAAGCTCACAAATGTTTAATCTTAAAAAGAAATTGTTGAGATGGTGACCATCTCATATGGCCCCTGCTTATAGCAAAAGACCTTAAGATGAAAGACCCTTTATCAAATGGTACACTTAATTTGGGTGAAGTTTGAGTCAGCTAGAACCAATGGGTGAGAAAAAGTGCTCAAGGAAAGAATTTGTACAATCCCAACTGGAAGGACCATGGGGAGAGAAAATATACTCTGGACAGGTGTTTTGACCTTGACCTCAGATCTAGAAAATTGGTTAAAGGTCACTGCACACCCTCTACCATAGGCAATCTATGGTTGTAGTGAACCCAAGTGGGCCAAGGGGAGAGAAAATATGCTCCGATCAAACAAAATCAGATGGGCAAAACAGACAGATTACAATAAGGCACCAAGAGAGCAGTTCCCTAAAAAAGAATTTAATATAGGTATAAATCTTTTCAGCGTTTAGAATACATTATTATGCATATATTTTATTCAGTTCTGAATCTTATAGGTGAACCTTGAAAAAGAAGGCACTTGGTGAACAATGGCAAAAACCATTAATTAAACATACTGATGACATAATGTACTTAAAATCTTGAAAGAAACAAATTATTCAATTTCGAACAAAAATATATACAGCACTGATTGAAATAATATTGTACAGTTTCAGATAGAAATATAGAAATCAATGAAGATTTATTGTGATCTCTTTATAATGGTTGATTTGTACATCGTTTCAGTTCTTTTGTGATGAAAACTAAACTTATTATAACTGTAATGATAAAACATCTAAAATTATCATTTAATTGAATAACTCGTACTTTCTGGTTTCTCATTTTTTTTTCTCCTTAGTTTAGGTGTTTGCCGGTAAGTGTTGACCACATGTTCAGTTGAAATTATCATAAAATCAAGTGTACGTTCGGTCAATGTGGTTTAATATTGGTATTCATAAAGCATAAAGATGTAACTCCCTACTAACTTCCCAAAAAAATCGGAATGGTCATCCAGTATGTCTTTAAAGGCTCTAAATGTCCGCATGAGATCATGCAAAATGGCGGTGTGCTCTTTTTTTTTTTTTTGCTATGTAAATGCGTGCCAACCATAATCTTTCATTAAAATACCAGTCATTTAATTTAAGAAATCTACCTTAAATGAAAAAAGTGAAAACTTAAGGATCTGCCCGGATTATTTTTAGGGGAAAAGAAAATAATTTCTGTCCAAATTACTTATTTACAACTAATGAATTCCTTTACCGTACTTGTCACGTGTTGACTCCTCGTCGGTATCCCCCAAAAAGAGTGTCCATTGTACGCATGCGTACCACGTTCTGATTTTAGGACTGTGTAAAACTAGGTCTGTAATTGCTGTGTAATTTCCATATCCAGTTGGGCTTTAATTAAGGTATCCATTTTGCATTGAGAGTAGACCAATCAGCGAATGAAAAGCCCTTGTGACAAAATTTATTTTCACATATGTAGAATATGTATTTTTATCATATTCACTTACTTACATCTTATTTGCACATATGAGGGCGGATCCAGGAATTGTTCCTCCAAAAATTTCACGTCAAAAAAATTCCTCGACAAGCAATTTTATGTTTTTAATACAGATTAACATTTTCCTAAGAGTACCAAAAATACAGAGGAGAAAAGATATATCACATCTGACAGAAATTTATTAAAGCCAGGTGCGAATCCAAGGGGGTGGGGGGCACCCTTAGAAATTAACTCATATATGAACTAAAATTATGAATTTCCATAGACGGACCCAGTGCGGGGGTAGGGGTGGCCTCAAATGGACGAGAATCATATATAATCAGAAGAATGGCTTTCTATTCATTATAAGCAATTAATCTTCATGTTGTACAATGCAACTTATATATACAACTGGTGGATTATCAATCTAACATGAAATTTAAAAAATGCAAATACAGGGTGTTTCAACAAACACGTCCCGACTTCAGATTTTATATTTTTGCACAATAATAAAATATTTACAAAATTATAACTGTATTTTATAATACACTTTTCGGCAATATAATTGTGATATAAACAATATAAAATAATGTCAATAATTGTTTTCTTTGAAGATTTGATTACATCTTCAAAGTCAGGTTTTTTTCTCCAAAAATGGATCGCTATGGATATTTTTGAACTAAACTATGCAAACAGAAAATTACCAAAATCACCATACCAATATTAGTGCACAAGATTTTGAAAAAGAAGTATACTTATTAGAACCATCTTTATAATATATTTAAACTTTTCAAATGATGTCCATATTTAAGCAACACAGGACTTAAGAGACAAAATAACGTTGTTGACTAAGAAATATTGCGGCCATTTTGAACACATAAAAAATGACCTAAATTGAAAACTGCTGCTGATGTCCAAACTTTAAAAATACTTGTCTAAAACATAGATGATTCAGAAATACTTCAACTTTTTACTGATAAAATTGTTTGGTTATGTGTTTTACATTTTTTGCAAAATTTGCTTTCAAAAATACTGTCCAACTTTTTTATTGAAACCGCAAAGTCTGGGCATGTTTGCTGAAACATCCTGTACGAACATTGAATTGTAAATTTTGGACGTTCAATGTGTCATAATAGGACGGATGTGCAGACTTTTCATAACGTGCCATGTGGCAACGCACTTCGAAAATTTTGTTCAAAGTGCGTTAAAATCGGGACAAAATTAACGCACTTTGAATTTTTTTTTTTTTTTTTTTTTTTTTTTTGTTTTGAACATATTTTATTGAATTAATCAAAAGGATTGGAAACAAGTTCTTGCAACTTACTGGTTCCTCTCCTTAAATATATCAATATGTCATGCAATTAATACATTAAAATATAATATTTTCAAGTGATGTATATAAGTGAATAAGACGTCAATTTAAAATCTACATGTTTCATCAATAAATTTATGGACAGCAGCAAATATTGTTATTAGTAAGTACAGACAAATCTTTATCACCCCATAATAACAGGTTTGTGTCAATAGTAACCAATTCATCAAGCAAAAACAGGTGGATGAAAAGATTGTTCCTAGCATTTGCATAATTTCTACAAGCAAAAAAATAATGATAAGCATCTTCATACTTTCCGCATGAACAAGAGGGACTGTTGATGATATCATAATTAAGTAAACAGTTGTGTCTTAGTTTAGTATGAATTATGTTTGTGTAGCGTTTGCCAAATTAAAAGGCGGGTTGCAGATTTTTGTACAAGCTCTTAAGTTTTTACTGGATGAATTAATTGAAATGGCTTCTCTTGTTTCTAATTTTGATAATTTTTTTTAAGTGCGTTAAGAGTGTACATCAATATTTTTCCCATGGAGACACTTAACGCACTTCGAAAAAATATGTATAAAACAAAATTCTGGACTTAGATTTTAGTAATAGACGGCATTATTTTGTTTTATTTCTTTCGAAAAACTGATGAACTGATCTACAGTGGAGAATCCAGGAATTTCATAAAGAAAAGAGGGGGCACAGTAGAAGGCAGGGGGTCTGGGCGATGCATCAAAACCCCCCAATGGGTCCAGGGTAAAGTCCTGGTGGGGGTCCGGGAACGAAGCCCACGGAGGCTGACGAATTCCTACAAATAAGAGGTGTTTTTTACATGTAAAAAATAATTTCAAACGGGGGGGGGGGGGGCGGTGCGCCGACGCTGGATCAGCCTTTGATCTACCATCATCGAGAACGAAGAGAAGACAGGTAGAAGGTCCCTCAGCCCAACTACCCAAATACATGTATTTACATAACTGGTATGACATTGATACACTTTCTCTCCAAAATTTGAGTTAACGCAAAATAGATGAAAAAATTGAGATAAGCTTTCCTAAAAAAAACCTATTATATTAAAGAAGAGGCTCATTTTCAATGGGAAAATTATAACTGCTCCCTTTTCCCTAAGAAAAATGCGATGCTAAAGTCACAAATCGACCTTACATCTACCGAACTTATAACAGAATGGATAAAAAAAAGGAAACGAAATTGTGCTATTAAACAATCATTCCCCCATTATTCCCAAAAGACCCATTTCCTTTTTATAACATTTACGAGAACCTTGGGGAACAAGGAAACCCCTAAAAATATGTAAAACGTCTATATCTCAGATCCTGAAGTGACATCATCACCGAAAAGTTAATATCCAAACAGATTAAGATAATTATTTATCATACCTAAAATTTGCAAGAATATTGACCAAGCCGTGCACATTTATATTTTCAAAATGCGTTAATATGGTCGATATTAACGCACTTTGAAAAAATTTGTGCACATCAGATCAATGCTTACAAGAGGAGTGTACAAAAATTCATAATTCACCAAAACTAAAATTTTACCAAATTGTTTTTGATAATTTTAAACGCTGTGGATACACTGATATTATATAAATACTGCATGTAGTTGACTGTAACATTGAAAATTTCCACCCCAAGAAAACCATTGTCAACCGAGGCGCAGCCGAGGTTGACAATGGTTTTCGAGAGATGAAAATTTTCAATGTTACACTCAACTACATGCAGCATTTATTATATTATACTGAATGTTTTATACAATTATATATTACAGTGAATCTTGCTCCCGTAAATTCTCAATATTTTCAATATTTTTTGGAATATCACCCGTCGTCAAACAATTTCAACTGTTAAGCTGGAGGGCGTGGCTTTACTATTCAGCGGGAAATAGTGTTTTTTAACAAATGTTTCTCGACGAATCAGATTCACTTAATTTATATGAAAGTTTAATATATTAAAAAAGAGAACAGAGAGATCAGTTATTAGCAGGTTGAGACTTAGTGCACATAACCTTGCCATAGAAAAAAGGAGATATTTGTCTATACCCACAGATAAAAGATTTTGTAATATTTGCAACACAGGAGAGATTGAAGATAAATTTCATTTTATATTCAGCTGCCATAAATACAATAATCATAGGTTAACTTTTGAAAGGAACTTTATGATTTTTTTTTCCAGGAAAAATATCAGATATGTCTTGTACTAAAGAAAGGTTAAGCTTTGCGTTAATAGCCAATGTCCAGAAATACTGAAAATAACACACTCGTTTATTTAAAAATGTCATATATCTAGAAATGATTGTATTACATAATTATTGTACAAATGATTGTATGATTTATGCATATCCAAAAATTCAATGTATGAACAATTAATTATTCTAATACATGTATGTTGTGCCTTTGTGTTTTTGAATGCACACAAAAAGAAATTAAAGAGGCTAGGTTAAAATATATTTCAAATTATCTCATATGCAGATCAAATATAGAGAAATTTAAACAACTTTTTTCAACAACAAACTGTTCAGTGTTGAAAAAATTATGCAAATTTTTGTCGATTGTTAAACAAATTATAGATGGAAATAATTGATTTGAATCTTAACATGATATTTTGTACTGTTTAGTATAAATGTATTATATTTTTTTTCAATGTGTTTGTATCTTTTCCTACCTCCTCTCTACAATGTATGTGCTTGTACATTTATGAGAATAAAATCATTGTCATTGCCAATTATTGTAATTGTGTTTGCGCCAATAAAATATTTGTATTTGTATTGCTTATAAATTACGTTATGGAAAAATTGAGTCTTCTTGTTTTTATAATCTAGTATCATGTTGTAAGTCTTGAATTTATATTCGGAGAGGAGCTAAGTGCAAAATTGACAACATGATAATCCGCATATAACTGCTTCAGAGAATTTTCTTTTTTTTTTATTTGTACATCATTTGTTAAAATTCGTGATTGATACTATATATATATATATATATATATATATATATATATATATATATATATATATATATATATATATATATATATATATATATATATATATATATATCTATCTATCATATCATATATGCACCTCATTAAAATTATTAATCCACTGATTACTGTGGCTATATATTATTTCATTTTAAACTGTGACCCATACATGTATTTGTAAATATGCAGGCTCGTAGAATCCGGGGGGGGGGGGGTATTCGGCTTCCCCACTTTTTTCTGAGAGAGTAATTTTTTACGCTGGTTGCCCCCTCCCCCATTTTTTTGGTTGCTGTAAGGTCGAGCTCTGGCAAATTTCAGGATTGAAAATTAAGGAGGTTTTTGTCATATTATTTTGGGAAGCCCCTTTTTTTAAACAGGTTAGTTTTTTTTCTTTCTGTTTTTATTTTTGTTTGTTGGTTTGTTTGTTTGTTTTTTGGTTTTGTTTTTTGTTTGTTTGTTTGTTTTTTGGTTGGTTGGTTTGTTTGTTTGTCTGAGTGTGTGTTTCCCATCCAATTTATAAAAGTTTAATTATAGAAAA